CTGCAGCGTTATAACTTCCGGCTAAATAGAATAGTTTACTTCTAAGAAAACATTCTTGAGATGCTATTTGCATTATTATCACAGCTTTGATTCATTTATTTGCATTTTGCTTAACTTATTCCATTTACTCATTAAATATTTCTTTCCTTTATTTAATGAATAGACTCAATTTAAGATTAATTGCCTAATCAGGTTGCTTTTTATAGTTATTGTGCTAAAGGCATCTCTATGTGGGACCATTTATGGTTAGTAAAAAATAAGAAAAGAGTATAAAATGGTGGAACATTTGCTTTCTATTCTGAAATTGCTGGATTAGTGCTAGCCCAAGGGCGCCTAACCTGTGGGTCCTCAGATGCTGCTCAGCTGTAATTCTAACTCCCAGCATCTTACACTGTTGGGTGCTAGTTAGCCTGAAATGCAGTCTAAAATCTGTTGGAAAGACTAGAATGATACATGCTGAATAAATACATGATGAGGGAACAAGGTGGAAATAAATAAGTGTTAGGACTGAAGAAAAGTTGAAAGGCAAATTAATGTTCATAAAACAAGGAAAGGGAAGATGGCAAATGACCAATTTGCAAGGTCAGCAAGAGTTTGTTTCCTAATTTCTGTTAAATTGAATGGCTTCCCTTATCTACCTCATGTTTAGATTTTTTTAAAGTATATTTTTCTTGTTTTTATTTTGACTTATCTTATTTCAGCACTGAGCTAACTAAATATGTAAAAATATTAGAATTATAGAAAACCATTGCTAAAGCAAGAGGCTCCCCACTCTCCATAATTAAACTATTAAAAAAAACCTGGAGGAAGAAGACATTAGGAATGGTTTTAAAAAGAGAGAAATAATGTCAGCCTGGGTCTGCTATTATAGTTGTTTATATATGTTTTCTCTGAATAATCTTTATGTAGTAATTAAATTCAGTATGCAAAAAAAGAAAAGAAAAATGGAATACCATTCTCTTCCTCCATATGCCAATTTAGTATTTTAATTTTAATAAATGGCTGATATTTATTTTTTCCTTCAGTGACCATAATGTTATTACATACTTCTCTGCAGTAATATTTCTCTGTTTAAATATATTTTTTAAAGTGTAATCATATTTTAAAGTGATTATAATACTGACACTTTGGTTCTGCAAATAGTTGCTAATAAGCTCGATATCTTGAAACGTTTGTATATATGTTTATTTATCTTTGCTCATTCCAGCTCAGAAGTATCAACATAATAAAATCAAATATTTAATCACTATGCATGGAAGAACATACAAAGTTTAGTACATGGACATAGAGGCACTGATGTAGTTTAAATGATTATAAACAAGTCAGATTCAGATGTCTCTTTGCATGAACAGTATCTTTTCTGTGTAGTAAAGGGGGGTCCAGCCTAAATGTCTTTCTGGAAGAAGGTGGCAAGATCAATTTATTTGCTAGACTTTTCTTCTGGACTGTTAAATTGGCATGCACAGTACTTCTCCCTCCTAATTTTCCCCACAGTAACAAATCTGTGAGGTAAGTTAGGCTGAAAACTAACAAAGAGCTGACACTTAGGAGAGAATAGAATGCATGCAGCCCCCCGCTTCTTTTCAGCTTCCATTAAGGTGGAAGTGATGAAGAGAAGCCATATTCATGTTGATCTGAACATGAGAACAGCTGTCAGTGTGATCCAGGACCCTGCTCTACCTAAGTTCTGGATCATGTAGAGACCTGTACTTGCCTTTAAATCAATATTAGTATGTTGACCCTTCAGATCTCCTTTCTCTACAGATGAGGCTTGAGAAAGGAGGAATGGCCTGAGCACATGTTCTGGCTGTGTCCTACTTTGTGCCTTCCACACATTCAATAAAATGTCAGAATAATATGTAATGATGGCCCAAAGTCATCCAGTGAGTTTTCATAGCTGAAGGTAAACTTGCAACTTGGTCTCCTGAGTTCGGGTCTAACACTTTAACCACTGACCCACACCTGAGAATCTGTGCTATTTTAGAGAGGCCCTTATCCTTCTGAAGTCATTTTTCTGGAGGCTGCAGTGAAAAAGGATAAACAAATTGTGTATAATCCCTACTGATTTTTTTTTTTAGATTTTTTATCCTCCTCCATTATTTTTATGAATAACTCAAGGTGATAAACATACCTAATGCTCCTTCCTCCTCCTACTTTCCTCACAGCAACAACCCTGTGAGGTGGGTTGAATTGAGAGAGAGTGACTGGCCCAAAGTCACCCAGCCGGCTTTCACGCCTAAGGCGGGAGTAGAAGTCACCGTCTCCTGCTTTCTAGCCTGCTGCCTTAATGACTAGATCAAACTGACTCCTATAAACTAGCAGGAATTGGGCCATAAATATATGAACTGTAGGGAAAGTTAGCTTCTCATGAGGAACCAGAGTAGTGAAACAGCTACTAGGATACTTTAAAAAAAAAAAGGATATAGCTTCAAGTGTCTGTAATCATGATGTCTATAACCAAGCTTAAACCAGGTTCCTCCCACATGATACCATACAATAAAGTTGATGTGGACCTGAAATGGTAATACCTAAATATATTCGGATATGGATTTTCCCTCACATTAACATCTATGTATCTTGAACTAATTCTTTATTTTTCTATTTTTCAGTTATAAACAACATTTACTACTTTAAGAAAAAGTTCCATGTCATGAGTATAAAAAAAATCAGCTAAAATTAGCTGACAATTTTCAAATTGAAAGCAGTTGAAAATCTTGTGTATATTTCATAAAGTGGGTTAAAATTCTGTAATAGTTTTTTTTAGATAGATACACATATACTCTTGTAAGGTAGTCAGCAGAAAATGTTGAAATATGAATTTTTGTTCTGAAGAATCCTTTTACATTTATCACTATCTAATATTAATATCAAGGATTAATAATTCCAAGTAAACAAAAATTGTGCAGCTTTATATGTGGAAATTAACAAATGAGACACAAATACAATCAAGTTTATGGTATAGTGCTTGCTATAATAGTGAACAGACAGAAAAACAATAGTCAACAGCGTACACACCCCTTTCTTGTTATCTTACTCTTACTATGGCTGCTCCTAGCTTGGAATTATTGTGTGGTTGTTTTTATTTTAGATTTACAGGCCGCCCCACTCCAGAATGACTCTGGGCATCTTACACTTAAAAAATAGAAAACAATAGAAGTAATATTTTATTCTAAAATAGATGCTTTGGTTACTTCTCAAAGAAAGTTTGTTCTTAGAAGTCAGAGAATCTTCTGGCTCTTCTGGCTATAATGGCCATATATCTGTTTTGTGAATATTTTTTTTTATAGAAGATGGCACGTTATTCTGTTACATCTGTTTGTAGTTACTCTCTATGAAATATATAATGTCATTATAGTTTAAATTAAATTATTTCTGTAAATAATTTTCTTCAGTGTCACAATGTGAGCATGAATAGAAGTGTAATAGTTCCATAGACTTCTTTCTGCCTTCCTGTATTTATAATCTGTTCATTGTATTGTTCCTGAGCTTTGCAACCATTTGTGTACTTTGGTGCCCACTGGGATCTGCTTTACTGTTCCCTTGTCTATAGGCAGCTTTGGACCTTTTTGAAATATCTTTCCCCATATCTAGTGTGGGTATTTTTAGGAATTGTGATCTGGAAAACAGATGCCATTTTGTTTCCTTGCACGGGTGTCCTCAGTGACAGTCACTCGCTTCAAGATGGCAGGTGTGACAGAGTGATCAAAGCCTTACCCCCTTTTAAGCATGCATCATGTTGTGAGAAACAAAGCTGCACAAATAATCCTTCTTGGATTTGGAAAGGCAAAGTTTATTTCCAAGTGTTTGCAAAGGCTGACGCTACTCAGCTTGCAGGCTGCAAGAAGCACACCATTAGAAATTTCAGCAAGGTTTTTATGCATCCCTTCACACATCGCGTTGGTCCTGCCTCGTTTTTGCCCTGGGGTGGGCAAATCCAAGTTCACAACCTGTCCGAGAACTTAAAATGAATACATTATTTCTTTTGCACAACGATTCCCAAACCCCCTTTTCTTATTCACAGTTTATAATTTTCTTGAGATAAGTGTCAAGGCCCAGGGTCATCCTGTCTCCACTAAATCACTGCCCTTTTGTGTTGTTCTCTTACTCCCTTCCCTGATTCACACATTCTTACTAACAAAAAGCAACACTTGTTTCATTATCTTTCATTCCCATGTCTCACCTTGGTGTGACCCCTTCCTTTTTGTAAACACCTTCAAATTCCAAACCTAATCACTTTAAACATTAAATATCAGAAAGCCTTGTTAAGTGTTGAACACCAGGAAGTTTTGTTAAAAGGTAATTTCTATTCCTTACAATGTGCATTGCATGCATGTCAAAAGGGGCGGGGCTTCAGACACCTGGTCACACCTTCCATTTTGAAGCCTGTGATTGTTGTTAAGGGCTCTCCCCCCACCCCCAGGACTGACTGGTTTATTACTTGTATTAATATTCTGTTTTTTCTCTAACAGCTATTCATGAGGCTCTCCCCTGATTTTTTTCCAACAAAAACCACTGTGAGGTGGTTTGGACTGAGAGAAAGGGACTGGCCCGAAGTCATTCAGTGAGCTTTGCACAAAATTCAGTGATTTTATTATACCAAAGAACTACAGTTCTCTCAAATATTAACACTGGATATGTGCTTGGCTTACCACTAATGCAGCTCTGTTGCTATATAATATGTCCCATGGGTACAAACTAAATAGTCCCCTTTTCTGGCAAAGAACGAAGCCATATAATATGCAGTGGATTGGGGCTTATATGGGATCCAAAGAGATGAGTCAGACAAAATACTTCATGCAGTGTGGGGGAGGGGGGGGGTTGGAAATGATGCTATAATAATTCATACAGAACACTGTGTGGAGTTGTGGATGATCAGTCAACACACAAGCCACTATGGTTTTGAATGCACATTCTGCATTCAAAAACAGATTGTTTTAATTTGCTTTATGACAGGCTGGCATTAGGTAAGATTTGTATAAAATGTGACTACCTACAAAAACATGCGATTTCCAGAGGTTTATTTGTTTTTCACTTCACAAGGTATATACAGCCTGTCCTGAAATCAGATTCTGCAGTGATCACCCTGTACAGAAAAACCTCTTTCTCCTCCTTCGTAGAGTAAGAGAAGATTAATACATTTGTCTCCTGTGTAGGTGTGCTAAGTTTCCTATTTTTCATTTAAAATGCTTGGATTGTGAATATAAAATGAAGTAATCACATTTTCTTTGAAGGAATGGTGAGAAAATCGTGGGTTCTTTTAATTAAAAAGCAATAATTAATAGTAATTCATTATTCTGCAAAAAATGGTAGAGGCTTCTACGGGGAGTCAGGAGGAGCAGATAATGAAAGCAGCATTGTTCCATCACAACACAAGCTCCCCCTCTTTTAATATGGGCATCATAAAGTTGCACCTACATACAAAAAGGGCACAGCTGATGGCATGTTGATGAAAGCATTGGATCTGTGGACACCTCTGGATAATGTATTTGGTTATGTTTTAAACTATTGGATTATTTTAACAAAACCCTGCTTTGATATAAAATATTTTAATTATTTAATTAAGTTAAAATATTGTCTTGTGGAGTACAATGAAAATAAAATAAAGAATCCATTCGGCGTCAAGTTACAATCATTTGTAAATTATGCAAACACTCTCCTTGGTTTATTGTACTTTCAACACAGATCTTAAACTTTAACTTTTTTCCTTCTCAATTGGTTTGGGAATTTCCACTCATATTCCTGGGTGGAGATTTAAAAAAAAGAAAAATAGATTTCTTTGGCTTTCTGATCCTAAATGTAATGTTCTGAAGTGTACAGTGGCTGCACTTAAGGAAACTGTAGAACAACATGTTCTCAGGATTCTGGAGTGTTCAGATGGAATCTTCTACATTAGTTTATGAGCCACAATCAGAAATCATCCAAGCCAGAAGCAATTAACAAAAAGCATTAAGTAACTTGATATTGGTTCTAGGTGTTAAGGAAAGGGGCTGCTGTTTTCTAGAATTTGTTGATTCTCTGCTGAAATGATCTTGGACATTCTGTTAAGAATTCTTCTAATAAAATGAGCACTGATTTTGAAAAATAACTTAGTTTTTTATCTTTTATTTTAGTGCGGCATTTGGAGATGACAACTAAAAGGAAAATTATTGGCCGCCTGGTGCCATGCCGATGTTTTCGAGGGGAAGAAGAAATCATCTCAGTGCTTGATTACTCCCATTGCAGCCTTCAGCAAGTGCCAAAGGAGGTTTTTAACTTTGAACGGACATTAGAGGAGCTTTATCTAGATGCCAATCAAATTGAAGAGCTTCCTAAGGTAAACTCTTCCTTTCTATAATATGTAAATGCAGCTGTCTAGCTAAATGAACTTTTGAAGCATACTCTATAAAAAGAACATTCAGTATAGGCAAAATTCATTGTGGCAACTAATAACACCCATTTTCTAGCCTTTAGAAAAGATGCTTCTGTTTGCTTTGCTAGCAGAGATAAAAAGATTGAACTGGATTTTGTTTCTACAAGTGCATCATTTCAAAATTATCTATTAATTCATGACACTGAGGCATCCCCATAAGGACTGAGATACTATAAGGGCTCCGAACGGTTATTTATTTTTTTTGCTAGTGGGCAAATTTGGAGTTTTGACAACCTATATTATTTTTATCTACTGGTTCTAGGAATGTGCTGGGTAGTTTTGAAAACAAAGATTAGACCATGACAGCTCCCCTTTTATTTTATTTTTTTAATTAAAAGAATCTAAATAGTGAAATAAAATTGGAGAGGGACATGGATCTGGGACCTCGAGTGTGTGCAGGGACCCATTTCTTCTTGTATTTGTGATTATGGGATATGATATTTTCTTGGCTGCTATGTATTTTATATTTTGTATTGTTGCAATTGTTTTTACTTTATTTTAATTTTGGTTTCTGCCCAGTGTCACTTGTTGAGATGGGTGGCCATACAAATTGAATGAATGAATGACTAAATAAACAAATAAATAAATAAATCTTGTTAGTGGCAGAACATATATTTTGCACGAGAAATCCCTTAGCATTTCTAACTAAGGCGGAAACCTAGGTACACCCAGAAACTTTGGAGAGCCATTAGCAGTCAGTTTTGACAATAGTGGGCTAAACAGACCAATAAGCTGATCAATATAAAGCCATTCTTATGTTCTTATGACACAGGAAGGGAAACTGACTCAGAATTGCCATTGTTAAAGAAGCACGTCTGCTGTTACTGTTACATGTTCTTCTGTCCATAGAATTTGAGCTGGAATAGATCAGTGGATCATCTAGAGCAGGGTTCCTCAAACATGGCAACTTTAAGATGGGTGGACTTCAACTCCCAGAATTCTCCAGCCAGCCTTGCTGACTGGGGAGTTCTGGGAGTTGAAGTCTACCCGTCTTAAAGTTGCCAAAGTAGAGGAACCCTGATCTAGAGCAGCTGCTAACCCTAACATTTGGGTGAATAAAGCCTTTGGGCTGTTCTGCAATATATGTTTCAGTTATATTGTGAACTTTACTGTATAATCATCTCTCAGTGCAGTTCAGTATGGAGATAACATAAGGAAAAAGTCAGTAAGAAGTTGCTGCTGATAGTGACTAGACCCTGCATAAAAAAATGGAGGAGGAGGTAATTCCAAGATGGGAGTCTGAAGAGGAAGGTGGATTTGCAATAAATATTATAATGTTAAAGGCTACATGAAATTAGTCCATAGAGCAGATCCATGCGTGAGCCACTACTGTGAAAGTTTTCAGTCAGTAAACAAAAAAAATAAACAGTATTTATCAATACATGCATGCACACAATATTGCATGCATTTTGTGTAATATGGATTTATTTCAATATCTATCAAGGCACTTAACATTTGGTATTATTGTCAGTTCATGAGATATTTATTATGCACAAAATGTGCAGCTTGGATTATGTATAGTCAAAACAGTATATATTTACTTACTGCTAAGTTCTACAGAATTTAATATGACTTATTTTCTTCTCATTACCTAAACTATTTTAATTTCCATTAATTTCATATTAAAATTAAGCCTGTGCTTAAAACTCTCCTATTAAGCTGTAGAACATAAATTTGTTTAACATAATAGTATTAGAAAGATCTATCCAACACTATAGTGAGATTTTGCTTAGCTGTCTTCCTGCCCTTTTAGCCCAGTTCAGATGCTTGATGCAATGATGTTTTCACTCCATTGCACAACTGGTTATAACTAGAGAAGCAATTTAATTATACTCTCTAGGGGTTGATAGAAAAGTGATATACAGAATCGAGTCATTTCCCAGCTGTACATATCTGTTCATAGAGAAGGCTCTGGATACCAAATCATATTTTTCTGTCTCATAAAGGTGTAATGGAGTGTGACAGAGGTCAGTTTCTGATGTATAATTCAGATATATTTTTGCTTTTTGATCATAACATGTATCGCTATGTAGTAATACATTAAAAATTATTTTAAAAAACATTTTTGGCTTAAAAAATAGCATAAAGCATCGTACATGCATCAAAATATAGGATTATACCGTAGATTATATCTTAAAGCCAATAGTACATAATTTAAAAAATTTATTATTATGCAGAATATACTGTAGGTTTATGATATTATTTCACTGTCACCTGACATCACACATGTACGATGCACTGAGCAAAGCGAAAGTTTCTTTGTATGAGAAATAATTTCTTTGCATTTCTTGTCTGACTGAAAAAAAAAGTATTCTAGTCCAGCTTGACTCCTGATGACTTCATGGACATATCCATATTGATCTTGGCAACAGTAGGGAAGTGGTTTGGTAAAACGTTCCTGTTTTCTTGATTTCTTAGTCAATCAGTCAATCAATTTATTTATTATTTTGACCACCGGTTATAACAAGATAAAACCTGCACAAAAGTGGCCAAATATTAATAAAACACATTAAAATGTACAAAAATCAGTAAAAAATGATTTCTTAGTCTAGTCTACAGCTGTGAGATTTCCTGGTAGTCTCCCATCCAAGTTCTAATCAGGCATAACCCTACTTAGCTTTTAGGCGAAATTGGTGTTTGTGATATATTAAAAGAAAGTAGCTACAATATGAAAGGTTCAATTCCTTAATGCTTAACATTAAACGATGCATATTTTCTATTGAATTTTCAAGTCAAGACATCAAACTTTATTTTCAACCTACACATCGCAACAAATATAGTACAATAGTTGCAGGAAACTCAAGGCATATTAAAAAAAATATGTTAGCTATTTTAAGTAATTAAAATATGTATGATCTACATCAGAATAATCCTTTTATTTTGCAACATGGATCAGATAAACTTTTGAGTTTGAGAATTTTTTTTGATATGGTCCATGTATCACAGTAATGTAGTTTGCTTGATTTTCATTTAAAAGGTTTATACACAGTGGTTTATAAACCTTGGTTTAGCTTGATATGTGAAGCCAGGTTTTATAAAGCAATATGTAAATGAAACAATAGATGGGTGATAAGGTGAAAATAGCTATTGTTCATCTCGCGAGTCTCTAGTTACACGTAGGACTATTCCACAGATATACAAATTGGATTTCATCAAGGAATGACATGGCTTCAGGTTGCACTAAATTTCTTATAACAGCTTCTAGAAAAAAGAATGGGGGAAAAACTAGCTCTTGTTGGTTTATGCATTTACCTCCTTGCATGAAGTATATAGGACCTATATACAGAATTATAGGTATAAGTATACTGTATACATGACATATACAGAGAAAAGTAGACATACTTTAACAGAGTTAGAAGTTATTTTATATATAATTTGTATTAAGAATTTTGATTATGATAGTAAAATCTAATGCAAACTAAACTTAAAGAAAGAAAAGAGAATAGAGAGAAGGAGTAAAAAGTACAAGGAAAAAGAAAGGAAAAAAGAGGGGAAAAAAGTAAGACTATAATAAAGAGAAAAGAAATATAAAAAT